ATCTTATATTAAGGACTATGATAAAAATAGAAAAATTTGATCGATCCCCACCTTTATAAAATTAGCAAAAAATTTTTACCAACATTAACTCAATAATTTTCATTATTGTATATGTGCATCTCGATGACCTATCTCAATTATTGAGATTACGGAAAGATTGATCAGTGCGAGAATTTCACAGTTAAGTGTATATATCTCTCAATATTTACTAAAAGAGGGTGTTAGAGAATGTTTCAATGCACGCTTATTTTAGAGATCACTATTTTTATTTATAAACTTATTTTGTGATGTTTATATTTGGTCTCTTGGCAGATTACAAATATCTTTTAATTTCTGTGTGTGTGTGTGTGTGTTAATTTCATGATAATCATAACCTGTAAACCTTAAAACAATAACCAACGTTATTTTCAGTTAAAAAATTCATGATAACATATGCTAATGCGTTCATACATATGGCCCACAGGCGTTGAATTTATTTGCCCTTAAAATTTTTTTTCCTTTTCTTTTTCCTTTTTTTTTTGTGAAGACCTTATCACAAGAGATCATGCTTGTAATCTTAAATTTCAAAGTTAGTAGAGTGTTTCCGCCTTCTCTTCTTCTTTCTTTCTTTCTTCTTTCTTTCTTTTTAAAAGACCTTTGAGTCCCCAAACTCTACTTGCTGGAATACTTCTCAATCGTTCTTGTAATGACAAAAATACTCCTTTTATGAATGTGGTTAGTTCAATATATTCAAACTATATATGCTTGTTTTTATTACACATGTACGAAGGATTAAACTCCTGAAATATAAGATATTCAAACTCTCATGATTGCAACCGTTTGAGCTGATCTCAATGAGGTTAGAGCAAAGCAATCATTCCGATTTTTTTTTTACAGTTTAATATAATTTTGGTGTCTTAATTTAGTACCAATTTTAGTTTTAGTTTCTCAGATTTTAAATTATAGGTTTTGGTCTCTCAAAAGATAAAATAATTCGAATTTTTATTGAATTATAGGGACTAGTATTTTAAATGGAAAGAAACTTAAGATGCCAAAACTTATTATTTGAAATTTAAAAAATCAAAATCAAAATAAAAACAAATTTGATGGACGAAAAATTGTATTAAGTTGTTAACCCCTATGTTTACTATATAAAGTTTTAGAAAGTCATACTGGTTCAAAGATTCATTGGTTGAATCAGGGGTAGAATTGATAGTAATCCGTAAATATATATACCTAACTCCAATATTATTGGACAGTTGGTGCGAGTGAGAGGGATAGTTCACATGCGAATCCACGGCTTATATTAGGCTTTGAAATAATGCAAGACAAATATGCTTTGATTTTTTTCTGGGATTGGTTCAACCTCTTTTAATGAATCAATTCTTTCCAAAAACCAATTGGTTGGTTCTTCTCAAATCTTTATCATGATTGGTTCCCTTGACAAAGCAGTTATCCAAAACGTGTTTTGATTTTTGAAGCATACACTGTAAATTTAATATATAAAATAAATTAAGATCTCATGTTTAATGTGAATTGGCTCTAGCAAAAGAATTTATAGTTCTTCGTAATGTGAAAATTAAGATTTGAATGTTTGTTGAAAGAAGCATATATATTTAGTATTTGATAATATCTCGAACAGAATTATTTCTGATAAAAAGATACATATACCTAGAGAAAAAAAATTTCTTAATTAACTCATACATTTAAGATGAGAGAGAAAATGTTATTCGATCAACTTGGTTTCTGCAGATTTTTTCAATCAGCTGACCCGATCTCATGCTGAGTCTAAGCAATTTAATTTAGTTGTAATTTAGTTTACTATAGATGCAACTTATTCGTTTATCAAAAAATAAATGCAACTTATTCATTAAACATATAATAATTTCTTTTAACATAAGATGTTTTAAACTTTATGCGTGCCTACTATATTGATGTCCTTTGTGACTCTTTTCACTTGAGAAGGCCTCGTATGACAAACAGATATCATGTTTCTGACAAATTAAAATACATTTAATGACAAAAGTAACGGCCGAAAAGCATCATTAGTTTTATGTACTGTAGTAGTATAAATTAAAAAAATAAAATGATGAAGATAATATTAATGAAATGAATGAAATAACTATTTTGAATGGCTCATGATATATACCAACCTGACAATCACAAGTGGGAGAAGATGTGAATAGTCAAAGACACACTATACAGAGATGGACGACATGAAAATTAATGAAAATATATACGAAGAAGGAGATGATCGATATGAAGAAGTCAAAGTCTTCGGTCAAATTAAGTGGTTGAAATTAGTCATGGTTGGAACATTCCGAGTTCAGACCTGAGAATTGTTCATTGCCCTTTTTAGCTTTTTCACTGAGTGTGAGTGTGACATTTTGGCCCCCGACTTATTTACTGTTCATAATCTAAGTCTATAATTAAATTAAGGTCCCGTTTGGTATAAAACATTAAAAATGAAAAGTAATGATTGAGACCGAGATTAAAAAAAGTCATTAAAGAATATTTACTATAAGTAATTTCTTGTTACATAGGATTAGACAATTCCATGTAGTTAGGATTGGGAAATACCAGGTATTTAGATTTATCCAATCCTAAATAATAAATAATCACTCAAACTAAATACTCTTTTAACATATTTTTTTAATCCCATTTTCAATTCTTATCTCTTATTTTTAACACTTCGACAGGATCTAAGCGTTGCTCATCGCCCATTCACCAACTAAATCAATTTGTCAAACTAACTGCAATAACTAAGAAAATGAAGCTAATGAAGATAGATCTAGTTAGTAAAATCGTGACTCGTATTGTAATCTATAAATATTTTATTAAGAGTTCTTTTTGAATGTTGAAAAGCTTGTCATAATTTTGGTATGTGTAATCAGAACTCAATTCAAACAAATTTTTTCTTGTATAAAAACAAGAAGTGAATTATTTTTTTTAGGTATAAATGCTTTCTTTTTTAAGAGATGTTTATAACTTTTTGTCTAAAAAATATGCATATAAAACAATTTGTAAATATAGGCATCCATATATAGAGAGAGAAATTATCTAATTGGGTTTAAAAGTCACTTTCAATATATTTTGCTAGAACTAAAAGAAAATTTAAATCTCATTATCTATTTGAGATCAACATACTAGAGATAAAATTGTTTGTTAAGGCAAAAAAAAAAAAATTCCTTCTGTTTTATGAATAAGATATTAGGGTTTAAATGAAGATTGGAATAGTCTAGGCTCCCTGTCGTGCACTCGTCTAGTTACGTGACAAAGTCAGCTGGTCCATATCCAGAGACTAGGCAGGGATCAAGAAATTAATTCTGCTACAAACAGAAACTAAAGAAAGAAACTTCGGGCAAGAAAGTTTCTATTCTAGAAGGGTTTCCATTGCTCGATCTCCAATTTTTTTGGATGAGCGGACTTTCCTCGGGCACGAAAACATAATAAAGCGATCGGCCTGACTAGCCATGCCACGTGCCCTGACCTTTTTATTTTTTCTGGGGAGAAAATTTTTATCAATAGGCAATTACTTCGCTTCAAATTAAAGAGGAGTACTCTCTAAAAACAATCAAGAAAAATGGTGTATATTAGCCAAGCCATTCCCACTTCCTCTTATAAAAAAAAAAAAATCAAGAACTACTTATATACTGAATTTGATCTTAAATACTCCTCAGGTCCTTATTATAAACCCAATTTAACTTTTTATTTGGTCCTAATTATAAGACCCAATCCATTTTCTCTCTTATTTTATGTATTTTTTTCCAAGATAATCCTTCTAATAATGATAGTTTTAGCCAATATACTTAATTAGCAAAGATATTTTAGAAATAACAACACTTATTTATTATAAATAACCAACTTAACTTACTTCCTTAATCTCCTCAAATAAGTCAATTGGGTCTTATAATTAGGACCGGAGGAGTTAAGATATCAATTCACTTTGTTTTAAAATTTATAAATTTTTCTTTTCTTTAAGCATCATATTGATTGTAAGGAAGTTCTTATCAAGGGATAGTTTTAATACACGTGATTGAAGATGATAGTTTAAAAAAATTAACACAAAATTGTTACATTTAGCCAAATTAACTAATTTTTTCAATATCTCTAAATTAGTTATCTAGTTCTTATATTAAGGATCAGACTATCTAGTGTCATGTATATATTAGCCAATTTTATGTGCAGTAGAAAGAAAAATTTTACCCGCTTGTTGTATTTCACCTACCATATTAAGAATAACGTGTGTGTGTATTACTTTGATTCTTTTTATAGGCTCCAATTAATTACTTTGCGTAAGGTAAGAAAGATAGTTAAAATTATTTATTTATTGTAAAATATTAAGATTAAATTTAATAAATTTTAGTCAGAAGAATTTGATTAATTGGTTAAAAATTAATAATTAATTAGGAATATTACGTGAAAAAAAAGTAATACCACCCCAGACAACACACATGTTATTCCAGGTCTGGATATTTAGTTACGGCTAATTTAGAGTTTTGAGTCAAGCTAGAGTTTTGGGCCAAGATTTGAGGCTTATGATATAGAGTAAGTACGCCTTTTTAATGTTCTGGGATTTTTATGATCAAGAATCTGGACTTTAGCATTTAATGTTTGATGTGCTGGTCAAAAAAGCATTTAATGTTTGATGTTTTAATTGACATATTTTCGAGAAACCTTTTTTGTTTTTGGAAAGGTCTTCTCTTTTAATTTTTTATTCTGTTCAATAACCTCGGCCCCCCGGCCTTTTTTCTAATCAGGCCTAAAAACAAACAAAGGCTTTGTGGCCCAAAAGAAAGCCCTAACATCACACGCCCATTTTCAGCCCATCTCAACCGCTTATTCAAAAATTCAATTAATTAATTAATCAATGTCTTAAGAATGCGCCACGTCTCCCGTGCTTCGCCTGTTCACTCGCCCAACCTCCAAAAAGAAAAAAAAGACGAAAGCATCACATTTTCCGTGGTCCAAAACGCACCGTTTAACTCCTCGCCACGCCTTCCATCCAGCTCGTGTTCCCCCCAATTTGTAGTTGCAGAGCATCTTCTAGATTCCGGCTCTATCGACTTCTACCTTCGCTTTTCTCCTTCACCATGTCTCTTCTTTTTCATTCTCCTCTCCCCCTTACCTCGGTATCATTATTCTTCATGCTTTCACAGTTTTACTTTTCCCTTTTCTTTTTCTTTAATATCTACATTTCTCTGAAGTTCAGAGTATTTCTTTGTTCTTTTTGGCAGTACAAATTGAAGGATGTTAGGCTGAGCCCTTCATCATTCTCGGGCCGATGGGAATGTATAAGCAGAAACAATCGTTCTCGATTTGGTTTTACCAGTGCTAATTCTGGTAAAAGTGGGGTTCGAGCGTTGTTCTTCAATCCTTTTGACGACCCCATTCTCAAAGAAGCTGTCAAGGTATAATTTCTACCTTCTACCATGTTCCATTTGTTTACTTCAATCCTTCAGTGTCATTTAATTTTCTTCCTTCCCGTGATTACTACTATTCTGTGCTATTGTTCTATTTATTTATTTGCATTAAAAGAAATTAGAAACGGTTTTACTTGATTGGGGAAATTCTAATTCGTCTCTCATTGGAATGGGTGTGACACTAGTGTCTGGCACGACAGTTCATGTAGAGGTTCTCACCTATTTATTTATATTCAAGGCTTACTTTGGCGTTTCATTGGAGGCAGTTCATGTTCTCCAAGACGCTTTCTAGTAAAACATTTGTGCGTTTTATTAATACATTGAAAAAATATTGTAATCATTCGCGCCATCAATTTACTGACTGAAAGGCTCTGGCGGCTTCAGTGCTCTCTGTTACTTCCAAATGGGCCATTGATGAGGTTGCTAGGAATAAGGAAGTTCAATAGAATTGTAATTATTTATGACTGGGAACGAATTTGGACAAGTCTGGTCTAATTGGTGTGAAAGGATATGTATCCATCCAATCTTGAACCAAAATATGATACACACCTGAGGGTAACATGAGTACTATTGACTATAGTGCGAAGTTAAAAAATGACAAGATTATGGATTTTGACTAGTGCTTGTGATTAAACGGTGGAAAGGGGACACCCCCTTCTGCGCCCCACAACAGAAATCTATGACTCAGGTAAGCTGTCAAATCTGGTAAGCAGAATTTTAGGCAACAATGTACTGATGTCTTTTCTTCTATCATGGCTGAATGCATCACACTAGGTCACCGGATGACAAAGTCTCTATATTGCAATAGGCAACTCTGCGTGAATGATTGATCATATTTCACTTTATTGCATTTGCTGATAATTTAGATAGAAGGCACCTTTCGAGTTGGTTGAAGGTATTAGTGATGGAGAAGCTGGACCTGGTCTATGCAAAATAAATAGACGCAATGAATCATGAAGATACATGTATTAAATTGCCTTTTAGAATTGTTTAAGTGTTCTCTTGATCAGTATTGAATCGCTGTCTCCGCAGGAACCAGTGGCCTTCTTGGGGGGAGTTTTTGCGGGTGTCCTAAGGCTAGATTTGGAAGAAGAGCCTCTTAAGGAATGGGTCACAAGGACTGTTGAAGCTGCTGGTGTCAATGAAGATGAACTTGATACCGAAGGTTCAACAACTGAGGCAGCTCCTCAGCAGATTGAGATTGAATAACTCCTACTGTATACAACGTTTATGATCTTAGCATAACAACCTATATGCCTCAATTTTTCTCTTCTTTTTTCTTTTTTTAAAAAAAGAACCAACCGGTTATATATGACTGATCAGGTTGGAGTCCATCTTTCTATTCTCTTGCTCTGCCTGGAATCACCAATTGTACGTCTGTTGATATTGCTGGCTTGACTCCATCCTCTGGCTATCCAATTTGTGATTATCTTTCAGTAGATGTAAATCTATTGGCTTGATACGTGATAAACTAAAACAATAGTTGGTTGAGTCGAGACTTGTGTATGTTACTGACACTTTTTCTTGGAAATAAAATAAAATAAAATAAAGTCGACATTTGGTATGCTACCGAATACTGATTTAGTCCCAGTTTCATAGTAATACTGACATTTGATTTAGGTTGTTTATTGCATTACCAGTTCCTGTATAGAAAGAATATAATAGGAGCTGTTCTTGTGGATAATTGCTACAGTCCTGAGACATTTTCACTGCCAAATTCATGTCCCAGGGATCCTTCCCTTTTTCTTTGGGCCACAAGGGAACTGGAATGTTGACACAAAGTGTAATCAGCCTCAATTCTTTTGATGGGTCCAAGTCCACAAGACGCCCTTTTCTTTTGGGGTATCGACGCTAAGCTTTTTTGTTTAGTATTGAAATGGTTAAACGAAAAAAAAAGTAGAAGTCAGGGTCATGCCTTCAGGCTTCACCAAAGAGAAATTATCAATTTCCCTATGATTAAACTCATAAGATAAATTATGACTGAAGAATACCTTTTTCATCCACGCACAATGTTTGTGGATAAGATTAAAAGTCATAGTGTAAACCTGGTTTTATGAAAAACAAGGATCATTTTCAACTTTGTAATGATCAATATATATATGTGATGTGACAATTCGCTATTTTAACATGCTTAACCAATTGAAGCCGAAATTTGCACATGCAAGGCAATATGACCAAGTGCACATAAATAGGAGTTTAATATTATTTTGTAACACTTTCTCCACACAACAAGATCATCTTTTTTAGATTTCCCAACTTCAAGTCCATCCATACCATGAGGTCGAATAAGACAAATACAGTAGAGAACAACGTATCCTTCAGGCCAAAAAAAAAAAAAAGGAAGGAAAGAAAGAAAGAAAGAAAAAGATGAAGCATTAATAGCTTTATCGACTGCTTCAAATTATCCCAAGTTAATTTAATCCTTTTTTTTTCCTTTTGACTTTTACATCTCATTCATAGTTTAAGCCAATAAATTTGACTGATTAATTAAGCATAATCCACCTCACTCATCTTTACATCATTATCTTTTCTATCACCATTCATCTTGATTCTTGTCATCAAATCCCTAGTTGTTAATTTTTTTAGCATAATTAATTATGTATTTTTTTCTCACTTCAGATATTAGTGATTGATGTCCTTGAAGTGAATTTACTTAGATTAGAGTGATTGACACAAATCATTTCTATCAATTAAAATGTCGACCCAATATGTCGACAAATTGAATAATCTTAAAGTTTTGGAGATAATGTTTACGTATATATACATAAATACCAATAAATTAACATTTCACACCTGTCATTAACTTTTTATGTATTTTTCGCCAGGAGGATAGGACTCCCACGTGATGCCAAACATAAGAGAAAGGCTAGAAGTGGGAAATTTTCCTAAACCGCGTGGAACTTTGACTATTTATAGAATGTTTCTTGCATATTTACGCTAAATTGATGTGTACACATATGGAGGAATTATCCCTCAAGTAAACCAAAATGTAATAATAATAGCAATAGTATGTTTTGTTAATTTTATGCTAGTAAAATATTTTTTTCATGATGAAGGAAGCTATAGGTAAGATGTGTGAACAAAAACAAGAGGGCATGTTATAGACTCTCGGGGAACATTATTGGACCACACGCTAATTATGACTTTTCAATCGTAATTTGTCATTTAAGGTTTGAGGCCCCTCCTTGGAAGTTTCAATTGCATTATCATTAACTCTTCCCCACAATATATATATATATATATATATATATTATATTATTAACCCTTGATGTCTACCATTATCTTTATCTAAAAAATGACACAGCTTCTATTCTATGCCTTTAATTCCTGAAAGAAACCCCTTATGAACCTATCTTAGACAGTTAATAATCAATGTTTTAAATATATAAAAAAAACATTTTATTATTGGTACTTGTTATAAAAAACACAGCTCCCTGAATTTGGGTGATTTGTTGATGTTACGTATAAAAATTATTGTTACATCTAGTAGCCCTTCTTGTCCTTAAGTATAAAGATCCTCAACATATTTTAATATAACATGTTTTGTCTAAAGTTTTCATGTCTCTGACAAATTATCAATCAAACTCCTTTAACTAATGACTTCCATTGCATGTAATTTTGCTGCTTTACAAAAAAAAAAACTAATTTCATTAACTTATATAAGCTTGATATGAGACCTTTGTAAGAAGGGCTGAACTGAACGGCGTATTAATTGTCACGAATCTCTGAAATGACATTTTCTCTCAAGTCTTCCTCTCTCTCTCTCTCTATTGTTTTCCATTTCTTTAGAGAGAGAGAGAGAGGGATGGAACATGTCGTAGCTAGTAGAGAGGTGGCTAGGGTTTTGTAGTGCATGGTGCGTAAACAGGAAAGAACACAGTGTGGTGTGTGTGTATGTGTGTGTATTTGATGTTTTAAAGAGTAAATTACAAAGCTTTCGGCGGATAATGACACTTGACCCTTAATCTCACCCGCAGACAAGCCTGCCTTAGCATCTATCTCATTATCATGCCCCTCTCTCTCTATATGTGTGTGTATATATCCTTTCTAATATCTCTCCCACTCTTTATAATTCTTTATATATGTGTGCGCGCGCTCTGTTTCTAAAGTTTTATAATGATGATACCAGATTAATTGAGGTGAAGGGTCGTTTCAATTGAAATGTTATGATTATGTATGTTCTACTCACTATAATGGAATTGGGAATATTGTTGGTGTATTCATTGATTATTAATTATATTGTTATTAATATTGTTAATATTTAAAATAATTTTTTAATAAGTACATAATCTAAAATAAATGTAATTTTTTTAAAAAAAATAATTTTTATTTAAAATTTAAAAATTTTAAATTTAGGTCATAAAATTGTATTTGAATGGTGTAAATTTCATTGTAGCAATGAGCATCATGTTACTTGTTATTATGTGAGCACCGGAACTGATTCCCACACATGATCCATTTAGGCAGAGAAACCCTACTGCTTTCAAATTTCATTCTTGTTAATATTTTTTTTTTTTAACCCAAAAACAAGTTTGAAGGGCCAATTTTCTTTATTACATTGCCATTGCCATATCTACATAAAGTAGGTAGCAAAAAAAAAAACAGAGAGAAAAATATGACAACCTTAGCATTTTGTTAGGATAAAGACCTACAAGCCAAGCATTTCTATTTTTCCTATATAAAGACTTCGAAAAATGTTTAATAAGATTTCGACGAGATATATTATTTCAAGGTCAAAAAAAGAGAGATATATTATTCATACATTCAAAATTCCATATTTAAAATAGTTAAGATAAACTTTGACAAACGCTAAGTTTGAAAGAAGAATAAATTATTAAATCATAAAGATTGATTGACTTATAACGGATCATAAATAAAATTACGCCGAACAAAAAACTAAAAAATTAATATATATGGACTACTCCCTCAACCTTTAATAATCACTCCTATTTTTTTAGTACGATATATTACTATTTTGTACAGCAAACAAAAGAAGAAGCAAAATAAAATCAGCCATCCTTAAGTCTTAATCCGAATTTTCAATCAACTGGGTTTGTTGCCAGCTAATTATTTTCTGTAAAATATAAGAGAGATCAAGCACCGACAAGAAATTAATTAAAGCATATATATGCACACACACATATCAAATCTATCAATTTACATAATTGATCATCCCTAGTGTAACAACCAGAAGATCTAAAAAGGAGTGGTTGAAAAAAATGATAAGAGAGTAACAAGTTTATAATTATCATTATTGTTGTTATTAACATCATGATTATTTAACACTTGTACGTAATAAAGTGATGATATAATTGATCAACATCTTCACCCAGGGCCAGATATTAATTTTCCATTATCCCCATAAACTAAATAATATATTAATTTTTATTGCGATGGAAAAAGCATCCACACAAGCGCTCCTTGGCGTGACATGTATATCATTTCAAACTCAAATAATAACACCTCGAGTGTAACATCATTCCAAATAATTTTCCGAACCCTAATAGGTACAAGATCTTAATCAATGTCCTATAGTCTTACGATTCTCTCTCATCTCATCTATTATTAGTTTGAGTGCTCATCTTAAAGATGAGCATCTAAAGCTCATCTCTTTTTAATTAATTAATCTTTTTAATTAATTACTTTTATATAACAATTTTTTTAAAAAAAAGTGATAGTTAAAAGATTATTTTTATTGTAGATTCTATACCCTTTAAAATGATTATTTCAAAAAAATAAAAGCAAAAAAAATAGATTATCTAAATCTCATCTGGATAGTTCAGATAGGATGAGCTCTGAGTGCTCATCATTAAGATGAGTACCTAAACTCATTCTATTATTATCTAAGAATTTGATAACAACGGTTATTATATTAAATCAAATCGATCATTATTCATCATCAACAAAAAAATGTTGATTTATATCAAAACTCATGAATAGGTTATAATTAAACTTTGATTAATGTTTTGTCTTGATTTATTTCTGACCAATTTTGTTAGTACCTGATAAGTTTTCAATTCGAATACTCGATTAATTTTGGAAGTGAGCTTTGAATCGGATCAAAGTATAATTTGTCGGTTGAATTAATTATAATCAACCATCAGTCAAATTTGACGTTGGAAGCAATAAATTTTAGGAAAGTGGGATTATTAATTTCTTATAAATATATAATTGTGGCAAAAATCCTATCATAGACTTAAAACCAATATTTTCTCTTGGATATCACAAACATCTTCGGTGGCAATGATAGATTGATAGTAGCATGATACTCATACTGCAACCAGATCATTTTGCACCGTCCAAATATAGTTTTAACGGATTTAAATTTTTCTTCTAATGATTTTTAAAATAAAAAAATTATATTTTCAAAAACTGAAAATTAAAAGATAATTTTTATTCTAAATTACGTATATAATTAATTACTCCCTCCAATCCTTAATATAAAAGTTAGATAACTAATTTGTAGATCTTAATGAACTTAGTTAAGTTAATTATTTATAATAAACAGATGTTGTCTTGGGTAAAATATTCCTATCAATCATATTTATTGAAATTACTCTTTCAAAAAAAAATTCTTAACATGTGCAATCGTCATGCAAATTATTTAAGGAGCAAAATAAATAAATATTAAAGATAAAGTAGATTGAGGTCTTATATTCATAATTAAAATGGGATCTCCAACTAGTTCGTATATTAAGTATAAGAAATGGTATTAAAACAAAATCATATTATTCTGAACCGTCCAATTTTAATCTTGACGGTTCAGACTTGATACTGAACACCCAAACTAAATCCCCTGAATATAAATATCACTATCATATACCCGCGCTCGCGCACATGACACATCATCATGAGGGAATGGGGAATTTGATGGGGTATTAATTATTAATATTAAATTTGGGAAGCAGCCACCCAGCTCCAAGAAGTCTTTGGTTAATAAAGTCAACAAATTAATTAACTAGGTTAATTAACTCTTGGTGAGATAGAGAGAGAAGGTTTTTTTCTTAAGATTCGATCAACCTCAAGAAAATTTTCCCTCAAGATTATGTGTTGCATGTGCATAACACATTAATTATTATAAACTTTAATCTTTGAGGCTCTTTAATTCGGTATTGGTTAGTGGATGATGGCGTTGGAATTAATTAAACAAATTAAAAATAAATTAATTACACAATTAGTGTCAAGATTAGCAGGCACTTACTCTCAATGATGTAACTTGCCCCTCAAAAGTCACTTCATATATATAAATCAAAGATATCACGAAGCAAAATTAAAACATGATCTTTGGCAATATATTTTCCTGTAATCGGACCTTAGTGAATGTCTTACATTTGCAAAAATTTGATTCTTCTCTTGTCATGTTCCTTTTTTTTTTTTTGGGTTTAAATTTCTTTGTGTGATAGAGAAATTTCTCTCTCTGCATAAAAAAGCTAGTGTCGCAGAATCTCATAATGGGACAGTGGAAAATTCTTAAGTAAATAAAATATATTAACATTGGCGAAAGTAATAAGACACAACGTAGCTTAAGTATCCAAGGAAACTACATAAAGGAAGACAAATGAAGATTAAAAAAACTTATCTTGCTGAATATTGTTTCCCTTCTTCAACCTTAATCCCTTATTTGACGGAGTAAAACAATTAACTATAAACATATACTATATTAAACCATATAAATTAAATACGCATGACTTGTAGAAAAACTATAATTTAATACTACCCTCTGGTTTTTAAAATAAGAGCCAATTGACTAATTTCAGTAGATTAAGAATATTTGTTAAGTTAGTTATTTATAATAAATATATGTTATTTTTTCTAGAATACCCTTACTAATCATGTGTATTAGTTAGAACTACTTCATTTGATGAAATCTTTAATATATACAACTATTATGATAATTACTTTAAGAAAATGAGTAAATGTGAGAGATAAACTAAATTGGGATATTATATTTATGACCAAATTGAATATTAAACTAGTTCTTATATTAAAGATTAGAGGTAATATCAATCTTCATCTTGTTGGGGAAAAAAAAAGCAATCTTCATCTTCGTTGATTTTTAACCCTAGACCGGATTCATTTATATTACGGTATCAAAAATCCAACCCAAATTTATAATTTCAAACAACTAACAACATTAATATTTAGGCTAAAATATACTTTTGTCCTTTAACTTTACACAATTTTTATTTTGGTCCCTTAAACTATTTTTTAGTCATTTAATTCTAAAATTTTTAATAAAAAAATGATGATATTAAGATCTTAAATATTGATAAAAAAAATTTCCAGTTCTAACATATTAAATTTAATTTTCAAAATAATCATGATTATTATATTAAATTATCATCTAAGACTAATAATTTTAAAGTGAAAGAACTAAAAATATACTTTTTAAAATTAATAGACTAAATTGAAACTATATATAAAGTTAAAGGACGAAATGTATACTTTAACTTTAATATTTATATATAATGTCTTTAAGAATGGGCCACGTATCTCATATGGTTAAGATTCATTATTAGGCGGCCATAAACTATTTTCCGTTTGTTGAAGACTAAGTCTAAACATTCCAATCTGTCTTTGTCATTATAAGTAATTGCGTATCATCAAAACCCTACTTTTGTCAACCGCTCAAAATATGGCTATATGGCCATAGTACATGTATGAGTAACATATAATCATGTTGGTCCTTTCTTAGGTGCATGTACACGCCTCTCTCTCTCTCTCTCCTCTCCCCCCCACACACACACACACACATATTTATTTTGTTTTTTCTTTTTGCTATACATCGCATTCAAATATTCTAATTAATGATGATGACAACGAATCTCCGTTGGTAAAGAGTTAATGTAAAATAGTACAGTAATATTTTTTGTAATGCTGCCTCTAATCCTAAATATAAAATCTAGTTTGTAATGCAATTTACACTATAAATTAGATTTTTTATTTATGATGGGTAGTAGTAGTATTTTGCATTCAATTTCACTGGCTTCTCAAAAGAGAATCCAAATTTGGTGACTATTTCACAATTAATTGAAAACTGCTTTGACTTGTTATCTCCAAATTAAAATTACTGTGTATTTTAAATGACAAAAAATAAAAAGTTATCATACGCACACGACTGTTATTATTGCTAGCTAGCTACCCTTCATTAAACTTGCATCTAGTTCAAGTTGCGAGGGGTTGTGATGCAAACACATCTTGTATGTATTCTATGACTTTTCAAATAAATACAATAAAAAAGATTTAATCCATGTAATGATTTTGATGACTGATATCACGTTATGTCATCTATAACGCTAATGAAACATCATTGTTTTGGAGCCGGTAACAAATGATTTAACACGACAACGTTTGTCATATTAAGCAAATTGACAAAAATTTTCCCGTTGATGAATTGAACATGTATCATGAATGGGATGGAATCCAAATATCCATGTATGAGAGAGAGAGAGAGAGAGAGAGAGAGAGAGGGAGGGAGAGAGAGATCAGTTTCACACGTTCACATATAGTTTTGATCTTTGGGAAGAGAAAGTTAATTAAGAATCAAGAATCTATATTGATTTCTACTATATACATAACCCTATAAGGGTGAACATAATATTTGGAAAAAAAAGGGTCAGGCTCTAGAGTCTAGTTAGACAACTAGACGAAACTACTTAATTGTTGTCTTATACAACACAAGCATGTTTTGACATAAAACAACGTAATTAAAGATGAGGCTGACATTTTGGAAACAAACCACACTTATCGCATCCTGCTTATTGATTTCACTTATTCATATAAGATTATGAGATACTCACCTAACGAGGAAAAACATTTCATGTAGTTTATATTTTAAATTCACATCTTATTTTTGCATGTTCATCATCCTCATGATGATGAATTCCGTGTTCTTTTCTATTCTTTGTTAATTTTTGTCTGGTTTTGATTAAGTATCTAATCTTAATATCGTACGTACTATATATGCTATTGTAGATCCCGAGAAACAGAGAAAGTGAGAATAAATGTCACTTTAATTTAGATTAACTGTACTTGATTGCTAGGAGAAGACCATACAATTTACTGTTATTTACTGTAGCCAACACTGCCGATGTTTCAATCAATATTTGTCTTTCAACCAGAGATATGATGTTTTGAAAACCCCATCAAAACCGTCTAATTCACAATTTACTTTTGTTATGCATGTATATAATAACGAAATTTTCTTCTATAGCAAGACTTTTAGTTTAATCATTTAATCATTGGCTTTTTTAACTGTTTTATCTTCTTCTAGCTAGCCCTGGACAGATAGAGAAAATTAAACAGTCATGTATCAGTTGATCAATAGTGAAATAAAGAATGAAGTGAGAAAGTACAATAAGCAAACTAATTCCGAAAGGGAAAGCAAAAAAAAAAAAAAAACCCGCCTAGACAAGAACAAATATTATGAGGGTGGGGCAAAGATCTTATCAACAACGATGTTTTTTTTCCCCAGCAAAATCTAGGGTTCTTCTTTTGTGGGGCCCTTTAAAGATTTTGCCATAACATTTATACGTTTCCTCTATATATAATACCACATACGGCTCCCTTCCTCTCAAACCCTCTCTCTCTCTAGCTTACCTTTTCCCCTCTTCTTCTTCATTATTCCTCCCACAAGCTCTCCACTTGGTATTTTCTTCTTCTTCTTCTGGGTTTTCCATCATATAAGCAAATCCATACACATACCAGCCTCAAAAACTACATAATCATACACAAATATCCAACTCTTTAATTCTTCTTAGGAATTAGGAAGAAATGAGAGAAGGTGGGAGATCAAAGCAAGGCACAATGTCGCCATGTGCGGCGTGCAAGCTTCTGCGAAGAAGATGTGCACAGGACTGTGTGTTTGCTCCTTATTTTCCAGCAGATGAACCCCAGAAATTTGCCAGTGTTCATAAGGTTTTTGGGGCTAGCAATGTCAACAAAATGTTACAGGTATGCTTCGATTATCAGTATTATTTGTTCATATTGTTTCATTTTAATTTCTTTTCCATATCACTATCATGATCATGTGTGCACGCGTATGAGATAATTTAATTACTTGTCATTTTCATGAAATCAAAGTAGGATACTGCTTTGATATTATTTTATTTGCTCAAGTCATTTTCAGAGGACAAAAGAGGCCAATATCCTTTCTTCTAATATATATATATATATATATATATATATACTTGGAGTAAAATTAAATAGCAATAATTCGTAAAAAGTGATCCCCTCTGCTGAATCATCTGTTTTATTTTGTATGTTCTAAAGAAATTAAGATCTGAACACATCTATGGTTTCAGCTGGGTAGAAAGCTATTTCCCCATCAGTTCTGAAGTAGATAGAAAACCGTTTGAACTAAACCTCATTAATTAGTTGCAAGATTAGTAGGGGTTTGATCAATAGAAATTTTTTTATTATATATCTAAATAGAGAGAGAGAGAGAGATGGGTTTCAAAGTATACAAGAATGTTGCAAGTCTTTGCATGAAATTTCTGGAATAAAACTGAGAATATAATTTGTTCTAGCTAGTCAAAACATTCAAAAGTATGATAATTCCACTTCGGATTAGGATAGAAACTTTAGTTTATAAGCCTTTGATCTTAGCTTTATGTATTGCAGTGTTTGTTAATATCTAGCCAGCCTTCTCTTTCTTTTTTTTTAAATTGAAACATCTAGCTGGCTGTGTTTTACCGTACCAACTAGTTCCTTGATAGACATGTTAATCTTTCATGAATAATGACAAAATACAGGCTGAAATAATCTACATGTTGTGGTCCCTATGATTCAATTTGATTCTTAATTCAGCTTAAATTTTTCTATTTAGCTAATGTTATTAAAATTTAACAATATTTCCATGATGTCTTCATCATAGTTATAGTAGTAATTATTAAAAAAATGAAATTAAATAATTCATATATGTTGTATAACGTTTGGTAATTTAAAAGAATATATACCAATGAAAATTTAACGATATATATAAGGCTACATTTAAATTATTGATAACTGAATAAAAATATCTAAATTTTAAAAAAAGTAAAAAATTTTCTAAAATATTATATTATATTTCTACAGGAAAAAAATTCATCTTCTGTAGGAAAAGTGAAAAGGGCATCTTTCTTTTGTTTTTTAACACCTTTACTTCCGTTATAGTTGTTATTTACAGTTGCAGGCCTCATGGCCCCCCCGGGGCAAAATTAATTTATAATTGTCATTCTTCTTTATTAAAAGCAAGTTCCTATAGCATTACTATTTCTCGTAATGATTCCTCAGCACATATAAAGAGCATAAAAGAATCACGTACGTACAAATTAGCTTTACGACTTGTTGAAGCCATTCCCAGTGTGAAGACGATAAAGTTAAAAAACAAAAAAAGACGAGGCCTTCGAGTGTGTCGTGTGTGTATTCCAATTTGTTCAACTTCTTCCTTTATGACCTTCACTTAAATTAAATTAGCTTTCGTTCAGCCTTCGGCTCTCTTCTTGATGTTTTTCAATGCAACTTCAGAGGGAAAAAGATCAAAAGTATAATTGATAATGTTTCATCTATCATCTTTTTTCTTTTGTCTTTAAAATCATGGGGGTTACATTGATAGAGACGGCTTTAATATATGTCCAAAAAAGAGACGTTGATTCCCTAGATAAAGATGTTTTATCTTGTAAAATAATTATTAACATCTCATAATTTCATTAATTTTCTCATCAGCATGACATCTTGATGATAAAACCACTTTCGTTAATATAAGGGTTAACATCATCTTCTAGTTCATGAAATTCATTTTAGCTTTAGTCTCAGAAATTTGAAACTGATAGCTTTGGTCCACCTAAAGATTTTTTGCCCTTGAAACAATGTTTCAAAGACCAACTAAAATTATTGGTTTTAAATTTTAGGAATCAAAATTAAAAGAAGGTCAAATTTTAGAAACTAAAAATAATATTAATCCTTAATATAACATGTATTTTGCACAAGACTTCGTCATATAGAACTAATATACAAGTCTTCTGTGAATGCTAATTCATTCAAAAATTTTAAGGTTCAATTAATCCTTAATTAGTGAACTTTCTTATATATCATAGCAAAGTCTAGCTAGCATGTGCGAGGCCTATCTTTCTGGCCACGTTTTAGAGATATGAAGATTATTCGATGTGTCTAATATCGCTCCAATCCATTGAACCGTATTCAACAGCAGGCTATCCAATTAAGGCACGTTAGGATAATGATTTTGGTAGTGTTTTCATGTTATTTGTAGTCAAACCATGCATTGATAAATTTTCTTTTTGGCTCCAACCAAAACCAACTTGTGCACCTACCTTCTTAAAAATACAAAATTAAAGCTCCTTTTTGACTAAGGATGGAGTCTTGTTTTACTATGCCCATGCAAGAGTCTCAGGTTTTTAATCATTACACTCACTTGAAGTTTTAAAAAGCTTTAAGCCTATGTGTTTAGGTCAACAATAAGGAAAGCATATAGCCTTAACCTGAAATTAATTACTTTTCCCTCTTTTGACCTTTTGTGTGTGTTTTTGTGACATTTTAAAACCCGTCGATCAATCGTAATTTTTGTCCTCATTCAAGTTGCTACTTAGTTGCTGCATGTCAAAGTTTTAGGTAGTGTTGCGTGAAAAAAGTTTATAATTTATGATTATAACCTAGCGTTCACACCTTCTTTATAAGTTTTAGGTACGGACACATACCAAAGCCTTTTGAACTTGTTGGAATTAAAGGTGTGGTAAAGTTTGAAATGTTGTTTAGTTAGGAGGAATAATAAGATGTGTTGAACTAGAAAGGAATTCAATATAATCTGTGTTTGTTTTCAGTCCAATATTTCATCATTCATTTTGACTTGTTATATGTAGAGGGGGGAATTGTTATAAAGTCTCAAGAAAAACACATAATTATCAAAAAGTCTCAATAAGCAATAATAAGTTTTAATCTAGAAAATAACAACGGCTCATTTATTATTATTTTTCCTTGGGACTCTATTCTCTCTTATATGTGTAGTCACATCAAGTTTCTTATTGCATTTAGTGAAATGATACTTCTCTAGCCATAAATATAAGATCCATTTTGTAATATAATTTATACTACACAATAAGTCTTATATTTAGGACCGGATGAGTACTATATATATTACAGCCTAGGTTAGATGACATAACTTTATGATAGGCAGATAAAAAAAAAACGATTGAATAATGAGGATTTCATTTCAGAGAATCATCCATATATCTATAATATAAAACTTATAGAAAGTAAAGTATTTATAAGATATGAATACTAAAACTTGTTCAGACTCTACACAATAACGATGACCCTAAGTTCCTATATAGATATGGAAAAGCTAAGTGCAAAAGTGAGAAATTAAGATCACTTATATATGATTTGTCTTCAACCTGCGGCTACGTCCATTTTATCATAAACTTCCAGGAATATAGTGTCACCCATCAACACAATGCTTTTTGTTCAAGTTAACACAGAAATGAACTGAAGAATTTAAATATCCCTGAGTATTACTGATATATAACTGATATATATGGGTGTGTGTAGTATCTTAATTAGAGAATTGAGGAAGTTTTTGAATCAATGGCAGGAACTTCCAGAGCACCAACGCAGCGATGCAGTGAGTTCAATGGTGTATGAAGCAAACGCAAGAGTGAGAGACCCTGTGTATGGCTGCGTGGGAGCCATATCGTCTCTGCAACACCAAGTCGATGTGCTTCAAACTCAACTCGCTCTGGCTCAAGCCGAAGTTGTTCACATGAGATCACTGAGTCAATTTTCTTCTTCATCATCACCACCACAAACAACAACTGTGACTCTGCCTTCCACTTCATCCCCAGATCATCATCATCATCATCACAGTAATAACTTCAGTAATAATATTATGTCTCCTTCGCCCTCAAGCAGGCTCAGTGCCAGGTCCTTTTTTGCCATGGACGTTGCTGAGTCTTTGTGGTCGTGCTAGATACAGATAGAACTTTTGGATATGCATGGGCTTCTTCTGATGATCTCTGCTGAAAAATTTAGCCTATCAGCTTAATTATATGGCGTGCACGCTTTTCTTTTTTTTATTTTCTCTTATGATTATTGTTACTATCACGGGCTTGCTTTTTCTTGTCTGCCTCATTGCTGCTCTCCCTTTTGCTTTTTTTTTTTTTTTCCTTTCTCTTTCTATGACTTTAAAAGCACACCTAGCTCTCTCTCTGGAGAGATCCATCATGCTGGTGATGATTAATTAGTGTTATTAACCTGATTGTAAATGTATAAACTTGTAATTAAGAGTAATCTTATATATGGATTAGTATTAAGTTGGCTGTATATATATGTGTTTATACACACATCCATCTACCTTACTACCTTCTTTGGCTTAAAGAAGCTCATGCATGATGCAAGAGATACTTTGATCTAGCGTTGTACTCAATTCTCGTTCTTTTTATAAGATACAATCAAATTACATTGATTAAGAAATCACTTAAAATTAATTAAAGGTAATAAATGGTTGGCAAAAAAAAATTAAAGGTAATAAATATGTAAGAAATGTATTTTCTCCCAAATATGCCCAGAGAGGTTAAGTGAAAAAGAAAGAAAGAAAGAGAATATATAACTAAGGGTGAAAAAAAAAATTACCACTTCCTGTTCTTAATATAAGAGCTAGATAACTCATTTGTGAATATTAAGAAAGTTGAATCTCCAACCAATTCTTATATTAAGAACTAGAGGTAATATGTTAAATGTTTAGGAATGTTTAAAGTGTAGGTTCTAAAAAAAAAAAAAAGGAGTATGATTATATTTTTATTCAATTTTTGCAGCTTAACCAAGATATATATACAAGTTGAGATGGTGATCACAATTGATAAAAGGTGGAAGCCAGCTTGATTTAATGATAAGAGATTTGTGAAATCTGGGATATTTAGGCACTAATAAGTAGGCCAACATAAAGCCCCACTACACATAATGATCGTCATTAAGTTTCCTTAAATACTAAGAATGGAGTAACTGCTTAATAATTATGACTAATTATCAATGATCTCATTACAAATGTCACATGATTTGAAGCATTAAACAGCAAATTAAAGGGAAACAGTACTATTATGGGCACCATGCATGTTTGTGTATGAATTCCTTTCTCAAAAGAATAATATAATGCTGTTAGTTAATTATAACTTAATGTTTATGGATTAGTAGTATTGATGATTTTGTAAGCACTCTCCTTTTCGGGTGGGGACGATAATATGTACCGACGTTCAGGTCCACTTAATTAAGAACAGACATATATATATATGAATTAAAATAAAAAAAAACTTCTTAAATATGTTACCGTCCTTTATATTTAATTAGCTCATTAATTAATAAGTAAACGTGCATGCCTGATGTCTCTCCCTAAAAAATTAGCAATTTTTTCTTTGGTCTAACTAAAAATGTGGATGAACTTATTTAAACATAAAGCATCAAATAATAGAAAATATTCACGTGTTATATTCTTATTAGGAACTAATACAATATATATTGATAGAATCACAGAAAATCAAAGTGTGGATGATTTAGAAATTATTAATTGTTTGGGTCCTGAAATTTATTTATTTCGAAGCTAATTAAACTGTCTCAACTAACAACCATTTGTTTTTTACGTATATTTTAGTTTAAAACTTCTAATAAAAAAATTCTGTTCTAATACAAGCTCAAAAAACTAGTTAGGGTAGTTAAAACTACCCATATCAAATATGCCCCCGCTTGGTATAATTTATAGTAAAGCATGAAAACAACATCACAACCATATCTGGAAGCACCAAAAGCACAAATATTCCAAGACAAAATCCTCCCACCATAGTTATTTAATTAAAATTATTTGTTGTGTGAAATAATATTTAAGTGAAATTATTGATATTCATTAGGCCAAGTCACAAAGGGTCTTTACAGTAAGACACTAGAGAATATATATATATATATATATATATAAACAGGACAATGCTACGCAATTAACTAATGAATCATGTTGAGGTAAGAGGACAAAGGGATATCAGTTTTTGAACTCATGTTGAGGTAAGAGGACAAAGGGATATCGTTTTTAATTTATTTTTTTAGAAAATAGCAAATAGGAAATTATTGTCCCTAAAGTCCTTTTTTTTTGGGTATGTCCTCTAAAGTCGTTATGCATGCATATTCTGTTTTTGGGGAAAGAAAATGGACCTATCTGGCCCAAGCTAAATCCAAATCCAGCAATCAAACAGCCCAAAGAGTATTTTACCGAATCTTGCATCACAAGCCAACCCATTCTAAACCTATTTGGGCTACACAGCCTATTATGGGCCCATTAATTGTTTTCCCCCCTAGAAATAAAGTAAAGTCCACGGGAGAAAAATGAGCGAAAATTTGAGTGCTAAAATTGTAGTTCAATTACCAATGGGTTGGACCAGTGGAAGAAGTTAATTTCTTATAACGTGACAAATCAAGAGTTAAATCTCTCTTTGGAGAGATATCTACATTTAGGACTTAACAGTGTCTTGAACAAGATTGCTTCTATTAGAAGGATACCAATACTTAACAAAAAAAAACTATAGTTCAATTATTCAGGCATAGGTTGCAGATTGCAAATCATACAGAATACAGATAATCTCTCTCTCTCTCTCTCTCACACACACACTATATATATGTGTGTATATATATCCGGTGAATTAAGACACTGCCAATATTTCATGACATCACATGATGTGTAAAAGTGTGTGTCTCAGTCCTTTCTTCATATATCTGTCAAGAGTTTCCATTGCTATCCATTTCTCCTTTTTTCCAACGTCTTATTACCATTTCTTCTCACACTTATTAGTTTATTTCTGCTATAAACAAAACTTTTTTTTGGGGGGGGGGGGGAACCACTGAAGATGATTGATGAGAAACAGCAAAAGAATTGGGAATACTTTTGTTGCTCGAAGCAAATTGGAGTGTGTGGATTTAGATAATGTCAGGTGCAGTAGTTTCAACGGGGATAGCTATAATTATTGCAACATTGATATGTATGCCACCATGAATGAGTAGGGAAACCATAAAGCACAGTGCTTTCTCCATCAATTACACTAGCTTCTTTAAGTCACTCGAGGACTTGTCTTATACACTGAGATCAAGTATCTAGATAACATATAAAACAAGTGAGAAATTAGTCAACCATTATATACTTATATATATATATATATATATATATAGCTGTAGTTAATTTCTGTTCCTCAATCCAATGGGACCACTTAGTTCAATATGTGGCTCTCTTTTCTTCTTCAATCTCATTCCTGTAAGTCACACATGGGGGCATGACAAGACCATTCTCACCGACCAATGTAATCGATTAAATTTGTGTTGGGGTTTAGTCTCAAAGATTAAGCAGCAAACACAGTTTCTGTGGTTTCAAATTCAGGATCAATTCTACTGCTCTTGATGATCCCACGCTGCACTATATATCTAGCTCTCCATTGACCTCAAGGGACAAACAAGATTTTGAAACATAATTAAACCTTGAATCGTGAAAAGTCTCAGTTTATGTACTTTCATTAAGGTTTTCGGATAGTTTCCGAACATTGAATAGTGTTTCTGACAAAAATTTGTCTAATTGGTAATAATGCTTACTCTATATCTCATAAGATTGTACATAAATATGTAAGTACTTCTTGAGCCCGAGCACAAAAGACTCATACATGAAGTTTTATTTTGATGCTTTTGGTGGACGTGAAGAAACATCATATATGCATACATAACATAACATGTGCTGATTAAGGTGGATAATCTCAATATATATTATATTGTTTGTTTTATTTTGGTTAATCTTCACGTTATTGCTAATGCTATTTAAGAAAACGAGGAAGGCAAATCATGCATCGAAAAGTCAGAATGACGGAAAAGCATGAAGATATATAGACGGAATCAATGTTTCAAATAATGATGACTGTTTTTAGTGTGTGAGTGGGTTCTTACGATTGTAAGAATGGTTGCTTGTGATACCCATTTTATTTTGCCTTACTTGATGGATCTTGATTCATTCTTCTGGACTCTCATTTCTGCACAAGCAGCTTAAATAAACTTGCTGTCCAATCTGGTTGACTTGTACTTTTTTTTTTTTTAATATTTTGGGAGTCTAGCATCTAATAACCCAACTTCAATTCTCTAATTACATAATGTTATCTTTTGTTATTTTTCATCTCTTTAATTAACACGCATCTCTATTGACAAACAAATATGCGTGTGCATGCATGCGTATGCACAAAACCTTACTTTAATCACATGTACGGGGTACTGGTTTTCACATTAATTATGTTTTAGTACTAAGAGTGTAATTTGAATGCATGCAAAACCCCTTTTAAGAAGGAAATATATCAAATGAGAGAAGCATGATCTCTCACTTCATCATAGTTTCTTACCTAGTGATACACATCACATATATTATAATTATATGAATCTAAATAATACGAATCATAAACATAATACTACCTCCAGTCCTTGATATAAGAGATAGATAATTAATATAGAGAGATTAAAAAAATTAGTCAAGATGAATATTATAGACAAAGCATACATTATAAATTTAAGAGACAAAGTGGATTGAGGTCATATATGTAGGACCAAATTCAATCTCAAATTAGCTTTTATATTAAGGACTAGAGATAATATCTTAAGATTTTGAGTTGAAATCCAATGTCAAACATGTTTAATGATGTCTTCCTTGATGTTCAATGTTGTCCTATAAGCCCATAATAGTTTTGATTTTAAAATGAAGGTGAAGAAGTTGTAAATCCAATGAGTATCTATTCATATTATTCTTCTAATTAAATTAGGTCATAAATCTCCTATGCAACCATCATATTATCTTATGTCAGTGACACCTCATGTGTAATAATTACAAGGATCTAAGCAAAGACGAAAGATGGAAGGCCATATAAAAATGGGCATAAAAAAGTCTAGGAAGAACATGATGATGGAGAGTGAGTGGAGGATTGGAGAGAGATGACAAGTTGGAAAACGACATCACTAAGGAATTATATATGAAAATGAAGAAGTTGATAGTTTTGAACTTTAAACGAAAGCAATATGGGGATCCATTTGTACCCAGAAAATTATGGTAGCCCACATCTATATTTCTTCACTCATTGGATTATAACAAAACATACTTCCACAAGTTGGGACCAGAGGATCCAATTTTGGAACAGTTGCAAGCAGATTTTGATTCTGTTCATCTCATCATAAATGCAGACCCTAGGATATATACTTCCAATCTGATAACCACAAAACAAAGATACTTTCTTTCTTTTTTAATTTATAAATTCAAATGATAAACTTTTATTATTTTTTATGTACACAGATAAGAGATTTCACATTATACTCATTCACACAAAGTTTTCCCCATGTGATTATGCATTTTGTGTTAAACTTCTACATTTGGTTTGTCTTATGTTCCGCTTGATTATCTGAAGTATTTTGAGATATCAAGAGAGAAAGTTGAAAGATGTTTTCTTTGTTATTTTTCACAAGAAAATAAAGCTAAGGAAGTAAATAATCATAACAAATGTATAGAAGCAAATTAAGTGAAACTAAATTAAGGATTTTGAGATTAACGATTCAGAAGGGAAGATCAAGTTAATTTACCAGAGATAATATTGTTGAATTATACTACCTCCGGTTCTTAATACAAGATCTCGTTTGACTTTTATTTTGATTCTAAAATAAGACCAAATTCAGTTTGTCTCTAATAATTATTTATTTTTTTCAAAGTAGTCCTTCTAATAATAGTAATTTTAGCCAACACACTTGATTAGCAAGGATATTTTAGAAAAGATAATACCCATTTATTACAAATAACTAATTTAACTTATTTTTTTAATCCCCTCAAATAAGTTAACTAACTCTTATATTTCAGACTGGGGATAGTATTTCATTTCACACTTTAATTTCTGTCTGGGGGCTTTTATCATGAAGTAAGTACGAGAACATTTTCAGATTCTTTCCAAAATTATTCAGTTCCGATAGAGTATATTAATTGCATCTATATATAATAAATAGAAACTTATATAAATGATTGTTTGCCATACCCTAAGTTATAAATACTTTTTCATGTACTATTTATTCCATTCTCTAGCTCTTAATAATAAAAAAGAATTGATACTTCCTCTTTCTTATCTTCACCTCCTCAAAATTTAAAATTCTCATATATTCTTGAAGGAAAGAGAACTTGTTCATTGTCTTCAACTTTCTTTCACTTTTCAAAACAGGAAAGATCGTCTGCCCTTTGCAGATTGAAGATTCTTTGATTCTGTGTTGAATAGCGCACAGTGGTCCTTGACATATATTTGATCTATATAATTAACTAACTAAACATATACAATGTCATTCTAATTTATAATTTTTGATAAAATGGTAAGCATTAACTAATTAACATTTATTTATTTCAATCTTTGTTGGAAAAAAAATCTCTGTTTATTTTGGTTAATATATAGTAAATGATGGGTCGTAATGTTAAGTGTTGATCAAAATATATATGATGAAGATCTTCTTTATAAAGTTAGATTGAAAACTTGTTTCATGTATGCTTCTAGAAAATTATATATATGTGAACTGAAACTTGTGATTAGTTGCTTTCAATAATCATCACAATGTATGACTGAACATAAAACATCAATATATAGAAGAGATCGTGGCTCGTGTCCCATCAAAATGGAATATAATATGATGCGTGTATTATTATAACATTCATTAAAAAAAATAAAAAGGGAATATTATATCATTCAATAGCAACCCCAAGTATCAATTGAAGCTGTGAAAACCCATCAAATCCCTCGGTTAAAAATTGAAGATGACTATATGTATGAAGTAATTACATCGATCCCCATGCAATATAATAATATTAAAGCTTACACCTACGTCCTTAATTATTAAAAAAGAACAAAATTATAGCATACATAATATATTTCACTAATCTTGCACCAATAATTTCAAATCATCCTCCTTCTGAACTCTTCAGAGCCCTCGCATCTACTTTTAGAATCCAGCTTGCCACGTCCATGTATATCTCCATTTAAGCTCTATGTTATTATTGTATTATATATCTTCTGGTGAAGAATGAGATAGAAACACCAGACTTTCCATGGCTTCTTGCAGCCAATCCTCCTCCTCATTCCTTAACTGCAACAGATCACACATAAAAAAGAGTTATATCAGACATGGAAGATATAAATATATATATATATATGAGGTTGAAATATATAAACTTTAATGCAACATGATGTATTTTTTTCCCGTATATATCGTAGTTGCAGGTATGTCCTTTTTCAATATATATTGAAACTGTTCTGGGTGAAAGAATTCCAGACGGAAAAGAAAAGATGAAAAGAAGCCCAAATTAATTGATATAAAAATGTTGTAATCATGTTATGATTCTTATTCTATTTCAATTATAAGTTTAGTAATCCATATTAACAGTGTAATGAAATTTATTTATATGTATGTACCTGGAACTGGATAGAATCACCACCATACGAGTCGTATTGTTGCAGATTCTCAATATTCTTTTTCATTGTCATTTCATCCTCACAAAGCTCATTGTTTCTTGCAAATCTTCCTCTGACTCTGACTCTGCGATCAGCTAGGGTTTTCCGACAAGCATACTGTATGTATATAATATGTGGAATTTTGTATCAGTCAAATGTATGAAATCAAATTCCTATGTTCATAGAGAAAGGACAAAAGCAATTGAATAAATTCTAATTCTAAGTACTTTATATTCCCTTTGACTTAGAGATAGAAAAAGTTAATTAAAAGAGAGATCACCTTGATTGTCTTGTTGAAGTTCCTTTGGTTTCTTTTCCTCAAATATCGCAGAATTCTTTCCTTTCTTTCTTCTTCCGAATACCTTCCCACCTTAATGTTCTCTTGATCAACTCCTAGCACTTGATTATTCCCTTGAATTCCCTGTATTAAAACATTAATTAATCCTCAGTTTCAAACATAATTACCAATATATTTCATGATCTCAATTAACTATATATATATTTATATATATCAAGCATATACCCAGTTTTCTCTTGAAGCTTTAGGACAAGAAAGAGGCTTGACGTCCTCCACGAAGCCACAACTTTCATCTGCAAAGTCACTAATATATGGTTGCTGGTATAATAATCCGCCGCTGAAGCTCTGAAACCCTTCATTATTGTTAATGCCATAGAAGCTGTGGTGGCTTTGGACTTCCGGCATGCAGCTGGCGGCACGGTGGTCCGAAGGAAAAGCCGGAGACCATGCGTCGGAATAACGCATGGACGGCGACGACACCACATGATCATGATGACGATGATGATGATCAAGAGCATAGGTACCAAAACTATTATCAAGCCATGGAACCAAGCCATATCTCTGATCACCCCACATTGTATTATCTTCCATAACTGAACAATTCATTCCATTCATCAGTGAATTGTTAGTGGTGAAGGCGGTGAAATCACTGGGAAGCGTCTGGTTTGAATAGAACTGAGGCATGGAAGCCATTGAAAGAGGAAGATATATAGACAGCTAGAGAGAGAGAGATTGAGAGATTTTTGGTTTTTTATGTGTATGTGTATGTGTGTTTTGGTTTGGTGGGTGTGTGAGTAATATATACATATATATAGACAGATAGATATGGAAATAGGGGAATATAGGTGAATGTGTTAGTGGGGTAAGGCTGAGGCAAGTTGTTGAGGCAAGTGGGGGTATGTCAAAAATAGCTTATTAGGCGGCTTGGATACATGACTAAACAGAATTTTGGTACATTCTTAAGTGTTTGCATATTATTGGTTTTCACAAGTAAAATAGTACTTTGGTTAGTTTCTTCTAATTTCATTAAAATTTTAAATTAATTTCACTTTTCAAATAAATAATTCCAACTAAAATGTAAAATAAGTGGCACTATTCTTAACTCATCTAAATTTGCAACTAATCAATGTTATTTTTTCTGCAATAATTACATTTTACTTTTTTTTAATATAGTAACTTACTAAATTTTTAGGTCTCTTTTTTAATAAATATAAATATAAAATTTATAAAAACTGTATCATTCATCGTAAGTATGCCATGCATGAATTGTTAATCTTCTCTACTCTTTTAATTTTCTTCACTTCTTTATATTTTAATGAGCTTTTACATGTTAAAAGGATAATTATAAATCTAAAAGAAACTTGTAGATTATTATCTTGTATATTAAAAGGCAAAGTCCAGTCAACAATTTTTTTAAAAAAATAAATGTTATATTTATCAAACTAGAGACAATTAAAAAGATGTTTACTTAAATTTAAAGTCAATCATATCACAGCACAGGGCCAATACCCAATATAATTACTTAGGCCAAACAAAAAATCACATAATATTTCGAATTTGATGGTTATTTTTCCACAAACTAGTCAAATGTTTTTCCCTATTTATGCCGCCTTGCGGTAAACGCGTAAACAAGGTAAGAAGGCAACTAAATTTAGTTGTGATATTTTTGTTTGCAACTTTTCAATATAAAATACGTAGTTAATAACATCATTATTTTAATTTACCCTATATCTACCGAATTATTAAGTTGAATTATGATCACTTTTTATTCTAGACCACTTCTAATTTAAAGTATAATTAGGTGTTCTAATATGTGCGACTTTCAAACAATGTTTCAACTGTTTAAAGACTAAAAGAACTTGATTATATTCTTGAGTACTTTACATTGGAGGATATTAAGAATTTAAAAGAAAAACTAAACCTCATAGTTAGATATGATTTTTTTTTCTTTCGTTTGTAATTACATGTGCAAAATACACGTAGAGAGACAGAATTATGTGTGTTCGTGTATTGTGAATGGAAATAAGATGAAAAAGAATAAGAATTTTTACAGGTAGAATAAAGTAAAGTAATTGAGAAACTGGGCAAATTAGAGCCAACAAGGGAAAGAGAAATGAATAATTAAGAAACATAGAAAGAAAAGCAGAGGAGAGAAAAAAGGAGAAAGTAGAATAGAAAGAGGGGGTCATGTGCATAATACTGTGTTGAAGACTTTAAAGGCTTAAAGTTGGCCACATGGTACTATTACAAAAGACGCATCCTATGGTAATAGACTCAGAATCTACCACATGGGTTTGTTACATTTCTTGTAAACAAATCAAGTACCCCACATCTCCCCCTCCACCCAAATTTTTTTTCCTTTTTTTTCGGATAATCAAATCTCTCCCCTATTTTGAAGAAAATTCTTCTTTTATTTTTTAAACAACAGTTAAAAGAAAAATTATTTCTATGCACACAAATTGTGGCAAGAATAATGTAGAAAGCGTAATAGGTATTCCCTCTGGTCCTAAATACAATACACATTTTGCAGTGTATTTTTACACTACAAAATAAGTTTTATATTTAGGACCGGATGAGTAACATTTTTGTAAATAAAATGCGATAGATTGTTGACTTTCCTTACCGCTTATTATTACAATGAGTGTCAAAACAACTTTTTTTTTTATACCAGTTAGCAACAACTGATGTAAAAAGATAAATTTCTTTCAACTAAGTTCCTGTCTATATGAAAGATTAAGGGCTTAGATTCAAACTCATAACCACTTATTTAAGGAACTTCTTTTTCAATGATATAGCTCTACATGTCATTAGAAAAACTAAGTATGTGTATTAATAGGTTTCACATGTAAATAAAATTTATTAGTATGCTTGTTTTTCTCTAAAACTTTATGGTATGCACCAAATCAGTTATCAAGAATTGCATTATTCGAGGGAATCCAGATGGGACTTGCATAACATTTTAGTCGAAACACAAGTACATTGACTTGATGTTTGTTGAAAACCTACCCCTTGGCGACGATAACAGTGGTATATATATGGAACTTATTAGTTCTTACGTAGGCCAAAGTGACACCCCTTTGATTGGATGGACACTTAATTTTATACCACGACAGCACATATATTCCTTTGATTTGATTTCATGTCGAAGAAGCAGCTTCTCTTGTTTCATGTGTTCAATTCTCAAATTAATATCATCCTCACGTTAATTACAGTGTCTTCTCTTGTCCTTTCACAAGATAATTTCTTTTTACTAATAGTAATACATACCTGGATTAACAAATAAGTTGTTTGCTAGAATGGTAAGCTGTCTCGTTCCCGTAAGGAGGAGAATACAAGTTTGAATACTAGGAAGTGCACTTATTTGGAGAGCCGAAAACCCTTTGCAGTTTAAGTTTTGAAAGAGGAAACATTTGATCAAATAAATAAAAAATACATACCTGGATTATGCTAATTCTTCTGATGATCTTAAATATAAAACAGTCTAACTAATTCATGCATGTTGAGAGTAGTTAGTTAATTATAATAAAAATGAGAAAATGAAGGATAAAATGGGAAGAAGATTAGTTAATATCACATATATTGTCCTGCATTTTGGATCAAATAATGCTTCTAAAAGTTGTCGTGCACATTTAGATCAGAGGAAGTATATTAGAAGGATTTGGACTTGATTTTTATATCTACATATCTCACTTTATTCCGTTGCCACCTACACTAAACTCTGTTCTTATTATAAGCTAAACTACTTGTACATCATTCCAGCTAACAATTTCAATTAAGCCTATCTAATAATTCATGTGAATTTAATTAGGTGCGTGATTTTCTGCAACCCACCGACTGATATTTCAAGCTTAGAATATCATATACATCCCCTATGAAAAGGACATTTGAGTTTTAATCCTCAGGAGCAAAAAAACTTCATGAAAGGCCTTGAAAAATTGAGTAATAGAAAAAGAAAGAGTCAAGTGTTATAGCCTCTTTATATTTCAGATAAAAAGAGAGTTTTACATAGACTTCGTCGTATTTATAACAAATAATATCACAATTACATAAACATAGAGCGTGATGTAATTTATGATATATAAGCATTTAGGATTTGATAGATAGATTGGTTATGCAAGAGAATAAAAAGGAAGAGGGATGATAGATATACTTATATATGTGCTGGTTATTGGGAACAATGTTACTGTAGATCAGATATGGTAATATAAAAAGAGGAATAGGGTTCAAATTCAGTGGCAGTGTGGCACGATCGATGTTTTGTTAAGTGAGAAATTAAATTAAAATTAAGATTCCCGGCTTCCTTACCTCACTTGGTATCACGGAAAGGTAGCTTCTTCATCAAAATTCATCTTTTTTCAAGGCCTATTTGCCACATACAGCATCCATCCATTTATATAACTCTCATACATTTCAAACACTTATCTTCTCTTCAGTACGGAGTATCTGGTACCCTCTCCTTCTCCCTCTCCCTCTCCCTCCCTCTCTCCCCCCTTCCCCACTTGTTTGATTCTCTCTAAACTCAATAATTTATTATTGCTCCGCCTTATGCAACACACCAACGTTTTTCTTATTTTCCCTCTCTCCATTTCTGTAAGAAGCTATCCTCTATATATCTCGTCAAATCTATAACAAGGTGAGACTATTCATAAGTCACAAGCAATAGTACTTAACTCAAATTTTGTGAAATACTTGAGAAAATGTGTTTATATCCATGTTAAGGCAACCCATAATCTTTCATATCATATGCAATATATATGGGAGTCTGTCTGGTTTTGCTAATATACTGGTTATCTTACATGACCTCTAAAAAATATTTCTAAAATAAATCATTATTGGGATTCTTACAAACTTTGTTAAAATCTTGTCGGATAAATGGAGTGTTAGAAACATTGATGCGTATGGAGAAAATGATTGTGACTTAATTGCTAGTTTTTGTGTATGGAGCAAATCTAGTTTAGAGAAATATATCTTTACCTAAACTTCATCTAATAGAGGATACTCCTAATGTCTCACTAAATTACAAAGACCTCTCTTGAATTTTCTTAAAATTTTACAGGCGTTACTTTTATTTTTAAAAGAATTTATGAATATTTTAAAAAAGAAAATGAAAATCTATATATTTCTAACTTTATGTGAACGGTTTCCTTTATATATATATATAAGTAAAATGAATGAGGAAACGACAAATAATTAAGAGGAGGGTACAAGGCTGAATTCTGTTGTTGAAAAAAGGAGTAATTAATTGGGAACAAAAGTGCATTGATATGATAAGATCTAATTATTTTTTTCTGACCTTTTTGACCGAATCATCAGAAGGGACAGATTCTATGTTTGGATGCCTTAATTTTCATGAAAGGCCATCTTATGCTCTGATTGATGATGAATACGGAGCCTCATAGGCTTGTTTTCAGGACTAAATCAAAATTATAAAAGCACAATCTTTTACTTGCTTTGAAACCAAGCAACTTTTCCTCTTTACAAACTGATGATTTCTTTTAACAAAAGGAGTATACATAATACCCAAAAAAATTTAAGAAAAATTGAAACTTTAATGCGTAAATCCTTGGAAATGACTTGTTCCATTGGTTGAGGTACACGTTTGTGTTTCACACCTGCTTTTTGGATGTTTGAAGCCAACAAGGTCATGTTGGTGTCAATGGTGGGTGTTTGAAGGGAAGTGAATCTGAGGCTGA